AGGCACTTAATTGGGGGAGCTAGAGCTGAGTGCCTTTGGGCTGGAGCTTATAGCAAAGTGGAGTACCCTTTGGACACTAATCAGCAGTGCTAAAAGAGCTTCTTTGTAACAACATTTCCCAAGCAGTGCAGAAGCCAGGCCAAAAGGCTGAGGCCAAAGAGAGGCAAGCCTGTGGGCATGGCTGAGAAGAGGCTGTCCTCCCTACCAAAGATTGGTATTCTAAACGTTTCTAATCCTGAGCTTTATAACCTGTTAACTTCCGTAATAAAGCCCATAATCATGAATATGGTCATTGTGTTCTGTGTGGCCACTGCAATGAATTATTGAACCCAGGTGAGAAATAAGAGCTGTGGGAGTGATGATTGGTGTCAGAACTGGTAAGATTGGAGGGTGGAAGCATGGCTGACCTCAGCCTCATAGGAATTGACCTTGGACTGATGCTGATGGTGATTCTCCTTCTCCCTTGTAAATCTGAGGTGAGACATGGCCCTCAAGCCATTTTTTCCCGTCATTGACTTGGATATGTACAGATTGTTGGATGGGTATATGCTTATGTATTTTCACTAAAAATAAAATTGAGCGAGCATTTTGGTGTATTTTTGGAATTATCCAAGAATACCATGCATTGGTGGGAATCGACATGTTTTGGATTTTAAAACCATGATAAATAAAACAATTAGTTTGAAGTCTGGGGTGGGATGGGGAAGGAGAGAAAGAAAACACCAGGATTTATGGGATTGTGAAAAACGAACTATGTGATTGAAGAAACTGGAACTTTGAAGTCTCACAACAGCACTGTAGGGCATCAGCCCTCCTTTACAGATAGAAAATCAAAAGGCTTAAGAAAGAATAAAGGATTTATTAAATGTAACTACCAAATGGCTGACTCAAGATTTCATCTCTTGATGGTTAATCCAATATTCTTTTTGTTTCAAAATATTGGATTTTTATTTTATTTTAAAGCCTAGATACTAGCCCCAAGTTAAAAGTTAACAAGGGAATGATTTTGTATTAAATGAAATGAAACATCCAGAGTAGGAAAATCACTGTGGAAAAATAATCTGATTATCAGTATTACAGAAATGTGTTGTCTTATGCATATTTCTTTCTCTCTCTCTTTTCAAAGGTTTTTGATTCCAATGAAGAATCTGGGTATCTTGTTCTCACCTTAGTTGTCTCAGGCCATTTGTTCATTTCTCAAGGACAAACACTTCTGGTAGGTTTTATGCCTATTGTTTAATATACAAATGTATCTATTGATTTCCATAGTTTAACATTAATTTTTATATCATAACCAGCTTTTTCAGCTTCACTGAAATTAGTCAAGTTCAGAAAATTAAATATTTATCAACTATGTTTAGCAGTGGGAAATGTAAAAACAAACAAATATGAAATACATAAGCTGCCTTAAGGTATTTGAGTGTTTTGGTGGGAGTCAGAATGGATCAAGGCATTGGAATCAGCCAGTGTTCAAAAGGATTTTGAATTGGAGAGCTCAGATTGAAGACAGACTAAATTTGGAGAGAGGTGTGTGGAAGGTTTTCCAGATAGGGAAAATAGCATGTGCAGAGGTATAGACTAGTGGAAATAGCTAACAGAATGTTTGAAGGGTACTGTTATTGATGTGTTGTTGTTGGGTGTTGTCAAGTCATAGCATCCTATGCACCAGAAGGTAACACTGCCCTGTCCTGTGCCATCCTCACAATTGCTGTGTTTGAGCCCAGTGTTGTTACTGTGTCAGTCCATCTCATTGAGGGTCTTCCTCTTTTTTGCTAACCCTCCTCTTTACCAAGCGTGATGTACTTCTCCAGGGACGAGTCCCTCTTTGAAAACACGTCCAAAATATAAGAATTGAAGTCTCACCATCCTCACTTCTTAGGGACATGCTGGCAGTCCTTCCTCCAAGATAGATTGGTTTGTTCTTCTGGCAGTCCCTAGTACTTTAATTATGCTACTCCAACACCATAATTTAAATACATCCATTCTTCTATGACACTCCTTATTCACTATCCAACTTTTACATGCATATAAGGTGCACCTTAGTCCTCAAACTGACAACCTGTGCTCTGTAACACTTTAAAGAGGTCTTGTGCAGATTAGCATAATGCAATACATCATTTGATTTCTTGACTGCTGCTTCCATGAGTGCTGGTAGTGAATCTAAATAAAATGAAGTCTTTGACAACTTCAATCTTTTCTCCATTTATCATAATGTTATTTATTGGTCCAATTGTGAGGCTTTTTGCTTTCTTTACATTGAGGTGCAACCCATATTGAAGGCTTCTGATCTTCATCAGTAAGTCTTTTAACTCTTTTTCACTTTCAGCAAGCAAGGTTGTATCATCTGTATATCGCAGGTTCATAATGAGTCATCCTCCAATCCTGATGCCATGTTCTTCATGTTTGAACTACTGCCTCTTGGTCTATGTAAAGGCTCCTCATGAGCACAATTAAGTTGTTCTGGAATACCCATTATTCACAATAAATAAAGCACAGGTAAACATCCTTCTGGTATTATCAGCTTTCAGCCAAAATCCATCTGATGTCAGTAATTAGTCTGAATCAAGCTTGAACATCTGGCAGTTCCAATAGTCAGTGTACTGTTGTAGCTGTTTTTAAATTATCTTTAGCAAAGTTTTACTTGGATATGATATTAATGATATTGTCTGATTATTTCTACATCCCATTGGGTGACCTCTTTGGAATGGACACAAATGTGGATATCTTCCAATCAGTTGACCAGATAACTCTCTTCCAAATTTCTTGGCATAGATGAGAGTGAAGGTCTCCAGTACTGCAATAGTTTGTTGAAAGATTTCAATTTGTATTCCATCAGTTCCCAGAGCCGTGTTCTTTGCCAATGTCTTGAGCGCACCTTGGATTTTCCTTTCAGTACCACTGCTTCTTGATCATATGCTACCTCTTAGTACAGTGACTTTTGATGCTTTCTGCACCATACAGTATTTTTCCCATAATCCTTCAGTATTTCAAGTAGAGGCTTGAAATTCTTCAGCTCTTTCAGCTTGAGAAACATTGAGTGTATGCTTTCCTTTTGGTTTTCTAACTCCAGGTCTTTACACATTTCATTCTAATACTTGACTTTGTCTTCTTGAGCTACCCTTTGAAAGTTTCTGTTCAGCTCTTTTACCTCCTCATGTCTTCCATTTGCTTTAGTGTCTCTACCCTGGAGAGCAAGTTTCAGAATCTCCTCTGATAACCATTTTGATCTTTTCCTTCTTTCTTGTATTCTTAGTGACCTTTTGCTTTCTCCCTGTATGATGTTCTTGATGTCATCCCACAACTCTTTTGATCTTTGGTCATTAGTATCTAATGCATAAAATCTGTTCTCAAGATAATCAAATTCAGATAGGGTATGTTCAGGGTCATATTTAGGCACTTGTAGACCTGTTTTCATTTTTCTCAACTTCACTCTGAACTTGCATGTGAACAACTGATGGTCTGTTGGACAGTCTATCCCCCTGGCCTTGTTTTGGTTGGTGATATGGAGCTTTTCCACCTTTCTTCCCATAGATGTAGTCAACTTAATTTCTGTGTATCCCATCTGGTGAGGTCCATGTGTATAATTGTCGTTTATGTTGTTTAAAAAAGGTATTTGCAGTGAAGAAGTCATTGGTGTCTTGGAAAATTCTCTCATGTGAGCTCCAGCATTGCTTCTATTACCAAGGCCATGAGTTCTGGTGCTGTTCATAATGCTTCCATAGTCAATATTCTGATTCAAAACTGCTGATCCTCTTTGTTTTCAACCTTTGCATTCTAATCATCAGTAACTATCAATACATCTTGATTGTGTATTTGATCAATATCAGACTGAAGAAGTTGGTATAATTCCTCAGTTTCATCATCACTGGGTTTGTTTTTTTTTTTTGGTGTATAAATTTTGAATTATAATGTTATTAACTAGTCTTCCTTTTAGGCATATGGTTATAATCCTGTTAGAGACAGAATCATATTTCAAAATAAATCTTGAGATGATTTTTCTGATGATGAATGTGATTTCTATTAAGTGTGCCATTCTTGTCATAGTAAACCATATGATTGTCAGATTCAAAATGGCCAATATCAGTTCATTTCAGCTCACTAATGTTTAGGATTTCAATCTTTATACATTCATTTTCATTTGTGACAACTTCCAGTTTTCCTAGATTCACACTTTGTAATTTCCATGTTCTGACTATTAATGGATGTTTGCAGCTGTTGCTTCTCGTTTTGTGTTGTGCCCCATCAGCAAATGAAGGTCCCAAAATCTTAACTCCATCCAAAGTAGAGTTGTCGTCACAGTCAGCTCTACTTTGAGGAGGCAACTCTTTTCCTCAAAGAGTTTTTTGAGTACCTTCCAACCTGAGGGGTTGATTTTCTGGTACTGTATCTGAAAAAGTTCTGGTGTTATTAGTAATGTTTCAGTATTCAATATTCTGGTGCTGTCTGACAGCGTTCCACTGCTATTCATAGGTTTTCAGTGGCTAAACATTTAGAAGTAGACTATTTTTCCTTCCTAGTCTGGCTTAGTCTGGAAGCTCAGCTGAAACCTATCCGCCATGGGTGACCCTGCTGGTATTTAAAATACCTGTAGCATAGCTTCCAGCATCACAGCAACCTGAAAGTCACCACGTTACGACAAACTGACAGACTAGTAGGGGCACAAGACTGGTGGTAGCTGTCGTGGTTATGTGCTGTGGAGTCGGTTCTGACTCATAACAACCCTGTATAGGGTTTCCGAGGCTGTAAATCTTTACAGGAGCAGAAAGCCTCCTTTGTCTTGTGGAAGTGCTGGTAGTTTGGAAATGCTGACCCACTACACTACCAGAGCTCCTCGCACAAAACTGTGGAAGCTGGCAGATCAGGCTGCGGGCTCAAGTCCCAAGAACTCGGGTCAGATGGAGGCGATCTTGACTAATTAATTAAAGGAGTGCACAGCCCACTCACGTCACCAAGCTGTCTCCTTTTAGACCTATGCTAGTATTTCAAGTGTGTATAATCACCATGAACTCTGCTAACATCCACAGCTGAATCATGTCATCCTATAAACATCTTCTCCCACCTTCTCACCCCCAGACCCATCAAGAAAACAGTTATTTGGTGAGAGTTACAAAGACTAAGAGTAGAAGAAACATTAAATAATTCATTACACCACAATTTGGAAAATGAATTTGTTATTTATTCTAAATATAAATACAGCAATAAACTTTCCAATGAAAAAAATGTATAAAGGAGAAAATAGTAAGTTGCTTGAAAGCTTGGGTTGGAATTGGTATATAGAAGCAAAATGATTTAAGAAACAATACAATGATTAAATTCCAGTCAAAGATATCTCACAAGAAAGGAAAGGTAATGAGAGATTACTGTTTCTTCTATTATTGTATGGATATAATAAACTCATTGAACAAATGGCTACTGAAATCTACATATACATAATTTATTCATTTAACAATATTTATCCAACAATTATGGTGCTGTAGGATAAGCATGACTACTAACCCCAAGTTCAGGGGTTCAAGCCCACCAGCTGCTCCTTGGAAACCCTATACAAGGCCACTATGAGTCAGAACCAACTTCACAACAACAGGCATTGTTCTAAGTACTAGGGGATACAGCAGTGAACACCAAAGGCACAATTCTGGTCATTACATTGTGTTATCATTCTAATGGAAAGAAACAAACAGAAGAGATTAATTTGGGGTGAATTCTTTACTTGTTCTGTCATGTTATGATAGCAAGGTCCCACATGAGTACATTGTGATGATTCATTTTTCCATTTAAATGGACTGACTGTATAGCCTTATGGGGCTCTGGTAGCCTAGTGGTTACGAGTCAGGCTGCTAACCTCAAGATCAGCAGTTCAAAACTACCAGTCATTCCACAGGAGAAAGATGAGACTTTGTTCTCCCCTAAAGATTTACAGCCTCAGAAACCCGATGCAGGGTTGCTGTGTGTGGGAACCGAATCCATGGCACACTACCACCACCACTATATAGCCTTGGGAGCTTGGTGACTCTATAGGATAAGCATTGGATAGCGCAACACAAGGTTGGCAGTTCAAGAGTACCAGCTGCTCTATGGGAGAAAGATGAGACTTTCGACACCTGCTAAGATTTATAGCCTCCCGAAACCCTTATACAGGGTTGCTGGGAGTCTGAACTGACTCGATGGCACTTCACAACAACACATAGCCTTATCAATGCAAGTGAGGTCACCTGC